GAGAGAGAGAGAGAGAGATCTGTCATGGTTGTTCACCTCTCTAAACAAGCTGCTGACAGATAACACAGCGCTGTCTTGACGCATGGTCAGAGATGGTTGCAATTATCAGCATGTACACACACACACACACAGCCAACTAACTCAACAGAGGCTCAGATTTTTCTTTCCAAACAAAACTAAAACACTGAGATAAAGTTATTAAGCTTGCATGAAATCACATATTTACCAGAACATTCAGAGTCTCATAATGTTTACCTTCCAGCATCCTGCAGGAAATTTAAAATAACTGCAAAACAAAAACAGTCGAAAGCTTTATACAAACAGTAAACAGTAAAAATATGTGAATAGAACTGATACATAAATAATACAAAGCAGTGCTCATAGTTTAAATACATTTTAAAATCTCCTAATTTTTGTTAGGAACAACTAAACTAGGCCTGCAACTAACTGTTATTTTCATTATAGATCAATCTGGACCATTACTTCTCAATAAACTGAACTAAAAAAGCAGCAAATCCTCACATTGGAGAAGCTGCGATTAGGAAATGTGTGACTTAAAACAATGAATGAATTATCTAAATAATTTCCTGTCAATCTACTGTTTGAGCTCTAAACTAAGCAGACATTATCAGACATCTTTTTTTTTATTTCCATACAATCTATATTCAGATCTTTGCTTTGGGAATGTGTGCACATGTAGAACATGCAAATAAAACTCATTTAACTGAAATGAGTTTTGCCTTGAGACTGTTTTGAGTACCTTGGAACTTCATTTGTGTGTGCATGTAAATGTGATCCTCAGTTCATGTCTCCATGGAGGGATGTTGGGATGTGGCGTACTGTTACTGCCATCAGTGACCCGCTGCAGGATGTTCCCACACACTCTCACCAGCCGTCTAATTTTCCAGAGGAGCATCAGTACATCAGCATCTTCTAATGCCAAGACTGTCGCTGAATGTAATCAAACAACATTTTGCCTCTTTTCGACTTTCTGACAAACAACTGCAGCTCTCCTACTTTACACGCACCCCCTCAGCAAGTTGAAAATCAAATTGCAATGACATAAAATTGTTTTTGATACCGTAGGTACAGTGAACATTTCATCACAGTTGTCCCTGCAACATCTTTAAAATAATATTTTGACATGTTGTTACTGGCTGTTGAGAGCTTGTTAAGACTTAAATGAGAAGATTGATACCACTATATCTAGTGGTTATTACACAGTCGATATTCATATCTGGTATTGTAAATATGTAGCAACTGGTGAGCTTAGCTTAGTATAAAGACTAGAAATGGGGAAATAGCTAGCCTGACTTCAGGAAACATATATAACATGTTAATTGAGTTTTTGTTACCTTTGTACACAGCCAGGCTAGCTGTTTGCTCCTGTTTCCAGTCTTTATGCTGAGCTATGCTGACTGGCCACTGGCTCCAGCTACATGTATTGACAGTGCAAGAGAGTGGGTATTAATCGAGTATTGATCTTCTCATCTGACTCTTGGCAAGAAAGGAAATATGCTGGACCTTTTCCAAAATGTTCAACTGTTGTGTTAATTCCTTCTGTGTTGGATTTTTCTACAAAATATTATGAAGTATGCCATATTTTAACAGGTCTGTTGGTCATTGTGAGTCCTTGAAAGCACCGGAAAGCCCTTACACAATTCACCTTTTGGAAAAAAAAAACTATACAAAGGATTACCTCATGCATTTTAGGATATTTTGTCATGAACTGCTACCCATATATAACAAATACCTGTCTGGAAGGTAAGAAGTGAGTCAAAACCCAGATGGAAAAATAGTCTAAAACATGAGTGCGTTCTTTTATACTTTTGGGGTCCTAAATGAACTCTGTTCAACCTTACAATCAGAATCCGGTTAGGCCTGCTCTGCAGCCTGGTCTGGACCCTGATGTACAGCCAGCGAGGGCAAAGGTCATGGGAATGAAGGGTGAATGTTGTGCGTGTACACTCAAATGAAAAACTGCTTATAATGAAAATTATGATATTACTGCCAGCATTTTTTTTAAACAAGGGGAGAGTTGACTGAACACCCATCTCTTTGTCACCCATTTCCTCACCCCTTTTGGAGCTTTCAATAAATGACCATTAACTTTTATCTGACTGTCACTCAAAAGTATGTGGTCTCTTCCTTTCTGTCCTTTCATCTTCACTCTCTGCCTCCATTTCTCTCTGTTTTATAAGGAGAGACATACAAAAACACACACTCCTCCTTCCCTCCCCACCATGTCTCTTCCCCTGTCAGCCCCTGCGATCAGACTGATTTAAAACTACCTCTCCTCTCCCCTATGACCGGCCTCTTCCCTCTCTACAGCCTGACACACAGTTAAGATTGAGTCCAGGCTTCAGGTACTGTTATTGTTAGAAACAGGGGCCTGACAATATACATAAGTATGACTCCTGCCATTTTAATTACAGCTGTGACAGTGTATGTAGATAGGGTCACATCTGCATTCGATTAGGTGTGGGAAAGTGCATTAAATGTAGCTTTAAACTTACATTTTAGACTATCTTAACAGCTTTGTTCTAAAATAGCAACAAACTATAACTACTGATAAGTCGAGCTACTTTTTTGTATTGGACCAATGTAAAATTTTCCCTTTTTTTGTGTTTAAATAAACACAAATAAATACCTTCCAAAAGCAACCATTAGCTACTTTCCCTGGAAATTGTGCAGAAATGTGGGCACATGTGCAAAATCAGTGAGTGTAGGCACACAGAAACACTCATGTACGAACACACCTACAAAGATACAGAAAATTCTTCTCTAAAGTGGCAAGATGAAGGCTCACAAGGGGCCTCTGGAGCGATTTTCTAACACCCAGTAAATCATCTCTGACGTGTACCAGACTAACCCAGAATCATTTATCAGTAATCACCTCATTACCTTGTGCACATTGTTCACAGCCTCCTCACTCCTCTGCTTTTTGGTGCCTGATGTTTTACTACTCACACACTGTCACACACATCTGATTAGGTCACACAAATATTTGTATTTGTGTCTGGACCTGCACAAGAAGTCCTGGAATCACCTGGTCGCTTAAGTTTTCTGTGTTAAATTATTTTCTATTCAAGTAATATTTTAATCCATCTGACAATGTCAACAAAATCTGACCTACCTCAACCAGCCTGTCTTGTGGCCGCAGCCCAGCATGATCTGCGGGTGATCCTGGGTCTAAGGAGCGGATGTACTGTCCGGGTCGGGATCTATCACTGTGGAGATTGAAGCCGTAGCCCATGTCTGATCGCACCAGGTGGCACAGACGTGGAACGAGCTCGGACGGGTCTACGCGGGGCCGTAACTGGGACTGGGCCTGGGTTTGGGCTTCAGCCTGGGCAAGAGCCTCCTGGAAGAGATGAGAGAAGCCTGTGATATCGCCAGGTGTCAACAAACTGCTCCACATACAGTATTTTCAACACTCTTGATGGCTGGGTTTGGAGCAATACAAATGTCACTAGTATGACTCAAATGAAGCAGTGTGCTCACAAACATTGCACAGTTTACCCCTTATAATAGTCATATCTTTTATGAACTACTGTTTCAAATGTTTTTTAAATTGAAGCATTAGTTTTAAAGACAAAAAAAAGGTCTTGCAATGCAAGGTCAAGAGGATAAACACACTTAAATAATAAAAAATACATTATAATAATAGTAATGATAGAAATAAAATGAGTACAGTGATACAATGAGAATATAGGTAAAATATAAAAATATAAATGCAGAGGTTCATCCATAAGTTCATGATGGCAAACATAAGAGGAAACCACAGGAGCTCCAAGGAAAGATGGGGTCATTCTCAACTAGGACAATACACACTACAATATTGGTATTTACATTATTTAAAAGCCCATAAAATGGTGCAGCACACATAGAAAGATTGGACCAGTGAGAGATTCATTCTTCTCTCTGCAGAGTATGTGAACACAGCAGGTGACTGAAAACAAACAGCTGAGTCATTTAGAACAACCACCTTTCAAGCATGTAGGGCGAATGTTTTATACAAAAAACTGTGGGTGGAGTGTCAATTCAAGGCACTAATAATTATTATATTGTAAAGGAATGCAATTTTACCACATTCAGTGTATCATATTGAGTGAGTGAATGCGATAAAATAATAGTTACATGGAAAAAATCTCTTTGTTGGTTACAGATGTACCCTCCTTTTTAATGTTTTCATTTTGTGCTGTCATTCAGTTGTGGAATAGATGGCACGCTTTATTACAGACTGTATTTCACTCTGGAGTGAAGCTGCCCATTTCCAACGCATCACTGACACTTCTAACAGCCTGGATGAAGACATTTATAGAACCTGTATAATTGTGCCTTGAGCTCTACAGTGTGATCACACTGATTTACCACCTACACAGCGGGCAAAGAATGTGCAGCGAGAGGGATGATAGCACTGTGGCCGGCTCTGTAACCTCAGCTGGTATTAGATATTAGAGGTACCAGACAGGTAGAGTTAGTGTTGGGTGAACAAATATGCGTCTACATACATTACCCATGTTGTGTGCATGGGACAGACCCGCAATCACATTACGCAAGCATGAGAAGTCTAATTTTCCACTGCATATGTGAAGCTTCCATCATGGTCCAGCTTGTTCCTGCTAAAAATACATATGGAGTATGTGGGAAGGGTGAGAGAGAGCAAGAAAGAGAGACAAAGGTAGTGTAGTGTGTAGAGACGAGAAGATGGTTGCTGATTTATTCTGACAGAAAGAAAAAGGACGGCTTTTTTTAAAGATTTTTTTTTTTAAACTTATTAAAATGCATCCCCACAACAGTGCCTCCTTTCTACCCCTCGCCTGTAAAATAACACAGATGGCAACGTATAATTTTATTTCAGGCACTGAATTCTTTAGGATAGCAGGGATCTAGGCAGCTTGCCATGAGAAGGAGAGAGAGAGAGACAGAAGAGAAGGTTAGAGAGAGTAAGAGCAACTCTCATGAAACCCTCCAGATCCTCCTTTTCCTGGCTGGAGAGGAAGTGCCTGGGCCGGGCAGCAAGCACAGATCTTACAAAGGAGAGCAAAATACATCTGAAATCAAATATATTAGCATCCTGGGATCTGGGCGTAAGAAGAAAAATGGCAGAAAGAGGGAGAGGAGAAAGGGAACAAGCATAGAGGGAGAGAGCGCGTGGGAGGGATAGAAAATGAGATGCAGCGATAGGGTTGAGAAAGAGAGTTCAAGAAAAGAAACAAGTTAAGCAGAGAAACGCAGCGGACAGATAAACAGATAAATACGGAGACCGGGGCGGGTACAAGAAAAATCAAGATGACAGAAGTTTCCAGCGAGCGACGATGGGGAGGAAAAGAGTTTGCAGTGAAACTCCTCTAACATAAACAGTGAGAGTAGCACAGCTGGGAGTCATTATGTGGGGGAGACGCAAGTGTCTGCCAATCTAACCTCCGACTGCCTTTCAATGCGTGTCCACTCCCCACTAATCACCCCCTGGGGTCCGTGCCATCTCTCAACGTTGGGGATTTGACGTTAGTGTGCCTTTTGGACACTTTTGGTTCAGTCTTATTCGCTACAGGTCTTTAGTCAGTTATGACAATGCGACCCTGCGTGCGTCCCCCGCTGTTTACCGACGGTGGATGGGCGCAGATGTTTGGACTTGTGCGTGAAAGTGTAAAGGACAAAGACTCCTGGTTCGAAAAATGTCAGCAACAAGAGGTCGAGGCACACAACCCCTCCAAACCGAGAGGCCATCAAGCAAAATGCGGTCTCGCCATGTTTGTTTGAACTGTGGGTGTTGAAAACTTCATGGTTTTTGGGAAAAATATTTTGACGAGAGAGAAAGAAAGAAAAATGAGATGTAATGTTTTCCCCCTTTGTCAGCAAACTAGTTTGTAATCAGGAAAGCGGTTAGTTATCAGCATTGGACATTTTTTTGTTTCCAATGGGAGGAGAAGTGGTAGGAACTACTGGGAAAACACGGCATCCATGTTTTGTTCCACAAGCTTGAATGTAACTGCTCAAAACAAGTTCACATGGAAAGTTTGGCAATAAATCAGGGTGTTTTTCTATAAGGGGGCACAATATGGAATATTTCACGCCCACAGCAGAACATTATGGAGTTTGCTCCCCCAACACAACACAACACACACCCGTTCTGACCTCAGCGTCCTGACTGTGGCACACAGAGAGGATGTGCCGTCGAAGGGACAAGTGCCATCCCATGAATTCCTTCAGTTTCCTGTGACAATCAGCCCTTGTTTCTGTCAGTCTGTGAGTACATGTGGGGGAGAGAACCATGTACACACAAGACTTGTGTTTGTCTCTGTGGTTGGGTTATGCAGTTATGATTACATTAGAAATTAGACAACTTTTTTTCCCCCACAAAATCTATTGGAACATGAATAGAAATTTGAGCTGAATACACTAAACACCGCCTCCCTTAGTTACTGTTGCTATGCCAACCATAGCTTTCAGTTTTCAAACAGGACATAAGCGATTAAATGATAACAGAGGCAGATTTACCACTTTAAATTCTTGGTAATGGTATTTACAACGGTACACAGGAGCAGGGTTTTCATTTCTAGCCGGCGGCTGTCAAGTTTGTTGTTTGAAATGACAACGGCACCATATTTTATCAGCTGTAGCTAGATAGCTAATGTTAGCACCATGGGTTCAAAATGTTGTCTCCAGCTGACTTTAACATTTGCAGCAGACTCGTTTTAAAATGAGAATCCTGTACGTCCTTAATTATATACGTTTGCAGATATGTAAGGCTAACATATGTAGCAATACATATGTGTATAAAGACTGAGGGAAAAACTGCATGTTTCTGGGAAAATGTCAGCAGCATCTATTATTGATGACTCATTTGGGAAATAAATAAGCATTGCTCTTAGATTTATATTAGTTACAGTCCCCCTTAGGAGAAATTTGCTTTGGGTGTTTGACAGACTATCTGACTTAACAGCACATAGGCCTATTAAACAACAGTTAAAATGTAGTTTAACACACAGATTTATATATAAAAAACATGCACACCAAGAATACTGCAGCGTACAGCTAGTTAGACCTATGATATTATTTCAATCTAATCTAACCCTGTTTACATTTACTTTTGTCAAAAGCGACATAAATGAGGCGCAATCCAAGCCACGAGTGTGCTGCTGAGCTTACATATTTAGACAAGCAAGAAAGAGTTTAGACCATTCACAGTATGGTTTAGATTTATGCACTTTTAATGTTACAAGAGAGGTACAAGTACGAGTATATAAGCATTTGATACTTTTCATCCAGCTCATTTTTATGTGCATTACCAGTTTATTGTACACTGAGTGTTGTACAAGACATGCAGCTTAATGGTTAAAAAATCCTTAAAGTAAGGAATCTTTTTGTATTCTTGATTTCAAAAGGCATGTCATATCTACCTTTTAAATGTATTAATGAAGATTTTAACTTGACTTCAGATGGATTCAAAGTACTAGCCTATTGTTTTTAGCCCCATGCATACCGTTTCAATAACCTGTTACAGTTGCTAAACTGTGATTGGACAATCACTGTTCAGCAGAGGGGTTCAACAAACAGTTAATTACAAATGTTGTCTTAATGATGGAAAATCAACACTGTGTGTTTATTAACGGATCATAACTGAAATATTCGATGGTTTTATTTACATTTACATATAGCATGGTGAAATGATAGAGTTCAGGACAAGCTTGAATGTTGCTTTTTCTGAAACTGATTTGACACATTTTCTTTTAAATTATGAATGTAGCAGTAGTGGTGCATCCACATGTGTTCAACACTGTATCTGCGAGTCTTAATGAGACAGTCTGATGTGTAGATGGTGTATGACTGAGAATGAAAACAAACCAGTTAACATGTTTAATTTGCGTATTTGCACACACATATTGCTCTCTGCATGTGGCTGCTGGCAGTGGTGCTGGCAGTTGATGAAACTAGATCGCAGCTTGTTGAATAATTGAGCAGTGGCCTACTGCGATGGATGGATCATGACCGCTGTTAACCCTTTCACAGCCAAGGATCATTGGCTTGCTTGCTGGCCCACAACACAATGAAGTGTGTTTGGGCATGTGTATGTTTGCATGTGTGTCTTTGAGTTGCTTGCTACAAAGAAACTTTCAATCCAGTGTGTGTGTGTGTGTGTATGCGTGCGTGCAAGGCATTTTGTCAACAATGCTTTTACTTGCTCGCTTCCCATCGGGGATTATCGTTAACTTAATATCCCCATTCTAATAAATCAGGAGGTCTAGTTTCCTTTAAGCCCTAGGTCAAAAGTATGCAGTTTATCCTGTCGAGTTTGGTTTGCTTAATGCAGATGTGACTTTGAGTGCCAGCATATATTATTAGGAACTTTTTTCAGTT